TGATAACCCCAGACACAGGCAAAAGAATGACCCCAGAAAAAGCCGGCCGGTCTCAGTTGGGTGAAAGTAGATTCGTGGCCCTTCCGTTGGCTTCATCACTTCCAGGTTGCTTTCGGGTGTCGCAAAAGGACTCTCACGGAAGCCGCGGGTCGCGTGGCCCTAGTTTTCTTAATCCAGTTCTTCGAAAGCCGATTCCCGCAAAAAAAGGCAAAGGTGATGATATTTTGTTCTTTTAAAGCAGCCCCTTACAACATGTACAGGTGCTGCATCACCTTTTGTTGCTGCATCACCTGTTGCTGCATCACCCAAAAATTTGTTGGGCTCCTTGCTGCATCACACGTTGGTGCTGCAATCACCCGTTGTTGCATCACCCGCATCATTTGTGCTCGTGTTGCTGCATCACCCGTTGGTGCTGCATCACCTGCTTCTGCATCACCCGTTGCTGCGTCACCTGTTGCTGCATCACCCACATCATTTCGGCTCCTGTTGCTGCATCACCTGTTGCTGCATTACCCGCATCATTTCGTGCTACTACCTGCTGCTGAATCACCCGTTGCTGCGTCACCTGTTGCTGCATCACCCACATCATTTCGTTCTCTGTTGCCGCATCACCTGTTGCATCACCCGCGTCATTGCTCCTGTTGCTGCATCACCATCATTCGTGCTCGTTGCTGCACCACCCATTGTTGCTGCAATCACCCGTTGTTCCATCACCCGCATCATTCGTGCTCCCGTTGCTGCATCACCCGTTGGTGCTGCATCACCTGTTGCTGCATCACCCGTTGCTGCACCACCTGTTGCTGCATCACCCGCATCATTTCGCGCCACCTGTTGCTGCATTACCCGCATCAGCTCGTGGTCCTGTTGCTGCATCACCTTTTGTTGCTGCACTACCTGTTGCTGCATCACCCGCATCATTTCGTGCTCCTTGCTGCATAACACGTTGTTGCATCACCCGCATCATTTCGTGCTCCTTGCTGCATAACACGTTGTTGCTGCAATCACCCGTTATTGCATTACCCGCATCATTTCGTGCTCCTGTTGCTGCATCAGCTTTTGTTGCTGCATCACCTGTTGCCGCATCACCCGCATCATTTCGTGCTCCTTGCTGCATAACACGTTGTTGCTGCAATCACCGATTATTGCATCACCCGCATCATTTCGTGCTCCTGTTGCTGCATCACCCGCATCTGTCATGCTCCTGTTGCTGCATCATCGCATCATTTCGTGCTCCTTGCTGCATCACCCGTTGCTGCATCACCTGTTGCAGCATGACCCGCATCATTCATGCTCCTGCTGCCTCATCACCTGCTGCTGCGTCACCCGCATCATTTGCGCTCCTGTTGCTGCATCACCTGTTGCTGCATCACCCCCATCATTTCATGTTGTTGTTGCTGCATCACCTGTTGCTGCGTGACCCGCATCATTCATGCTCCTGCTGCCTCATCACCTGCTGCTGCGTCACCTGCATCATTTGCGCTCCTGTTGCTGCATCACCTGTTGCTGCATCACCCGCATCATTTCATGCTGTTGTTGCTGCATCACCTGCTGCTGCGTCACCCGCATCATTCGTGCTCCTTGCTGCATCACCTGCTGCTGCATCACCCGCATCATTTGCGCTCCTGTTGCTGCATCACCTGCTGCTGCATCACCCGCATCATTTGTACTCCAGTCGCTGCATCACCTGTTGCTGCATCACCCGCATCATTTGCGCTCCTGTTGCTGCATCACCTGTTGCATCACCCGCGTCTCCTGCTGCTGCATCACCATTGTTCGTGCTCCTTTTGCTGCATCACCCGTTGTCGCATCATTCGTGCTTCTGTTGCTGCATTACCCACGTCATTTGCAGGAAAACCCAGCAGTGCGGGTTGTTTCTTGGCTCACAAGGAAACAAACGGAAAACCCAACTTTTCTGGTCCTGTATTTTGACACATACCCCCGGGGAGCATTTTCGGACTGGGACCTTTGGAGGGACCTCCGGGACCCTCGCAAGTCCCGCCTGCAAGGGGCGCGAAAGGAGCGGCATTCGGAGCCTCGAATGCGAAGAAATGGTTCGGTGCCGCAAAACGCAAGGACATGAGCCTTTTGGGCGGGGTTCCCTAGTAAAAACAAATCCTGGCCACAGGTGTTTTTGGTGGATGGCCGTAACTGTTGTGCAGGGACTTCCTGGACGCGTCGTGCTCAAGTAATTTTTGCACGACGGCGCGCTGGGGACCGGGGCAGGGTAGCATTTTGGCCTTGGTTTAAAACAGGCTCCTGCGGGTCCCCCTATTTAGGTTCGTCTCCAGATGGGGGAAGCAAAAATGATGGGCTTGATTTTGGTGTTCCTGTAACCCAATCCAAAAGGGCACCGAGACTCAACACAAGGCTGTCATCACCACCCATCATCCTCACAATCATCATCACCATCATCATCCTCAACATCAGCATCTGCCTAGTATCACCGCGATCGCCACAGCCAACATCATCATCATCATCATCATCATCATCATCATCATCATCATCATCATCATCATCATCGTCATCATCGTCATCATCGTCATCATCGTCATCATCGTCATCATCGTCATCATCGTCATCATCGTCATCGTCAAGCACCATCCTCATCCTCCTCATCATCATCCCCATCCATCCTCCACCCTGGCCCGCCCATCTACCGTACCAGCAGCACCATCATCAGTCTCATTCTCGCCGTTGTCATCATTATAGCAATCATCATAGTATGTGGTCAACATTGCAAACATAGTCAATATGACCAATTATCGTCATCATCACCAGCATGTGTAGGCATGGTCATAGACATTGTCAGTCATTCTCACTGCCGTAGACCATCGTCGTTGCCGCCGGCGCCGTGTTTATCACACTGACATCGCCAGAACCATCATCATCACCGTCATCATTGTCGTCGTCATCGCGCCGCAACCAAACGCTCAACGACTTCGTCGCCCAGCTGCGCTGATTCACTCAAACCGTGTGGTGCGTCCGAACAAGATGCCAGGATCCGAACATCAGCGAAATTAGGATCTGTGTGACGCCCGCACAAACGCGCCACATCATCAACAGCGGCCAACCCACGCCCTTGCAGCACAAGTTCATTTCGATTTGCACACCAAGGCGGATTCGCGGCATTCATAGATGGCCGGGCTCCTGAAACAGCATGAGCTGGCCTGGCCAAAACCAAAGTGGCCATGAGGCCACAGCGACTGTGGCCAAGTGGCCAGCCTCGCCAACCTCCTCCGCAGGTCTCTTGCCAGAATTGGCGCACAGCGAGAGCGCTTCGGCACGCACGATCCCCGAGGGGTACGTTTCGTAAGCTCCCGTCGGGCCTAGCCCCGCCAGAAAAAGAAGAATTCAGACTTGAGAAGAGAAGGTAGAAAAGGAAAAGTTAGCTTGTGCTTTTAGGATAGTGAAGTGACACCCGAAAAGTTTAGCTTGTGCTTCGTTAGGAAGGTGAAGTAACACCCGAAAAGTTGGCATGAGAAGTTGGCAGGTGAAGTATTTCTCTAAAAGTTGGCATGAGAAGTTGGCAGGTGAAATGTGCAGCCGCTCTAGAAGAAGAACCCTTCGCGACGCTTCCGGGAAAAATATTCTTACGCAAATGGAAGTCAAGGAAAGAATAAAGGCGGGGGCAGGTAGATTGCCTGGTCGGGATCGAACTCGAAGTTATCACCTGGTCGTGCAGTGTTTTACTTCTCAGCAGCGAAAATCATGAGACATACTTAGGAAAACGAGGGGCAGGCTTGATAGATGTGGAACCCACCTTGGGCAACCTTGTAATGCGGCTCAGCCACTCGGAAGATGGAGCCGGACAAAGACTTGGCCGGACCTTTGTGGTAGCTATTTTGAGAGCGTGCATCCCTGAGCCGGAAATGGGCGTCGACGGCGCGGGCGTATCCGACATCGGAAGCCCATTCCCGGAAGGCTATTGGGCAAAGGAACCCTGAAAGGATACATTGCGAAATTCGAAACCACCTGCAGTTGTCTTTCAGGTTACCTGTATTCGCAACAACCGGCCAAACTTGAGGAACCGGTCCAGGTGTCCAAACAATTTTCAAGTCCACGGCCTTCCAAAAGGAAAAGGTCCAAGACGATATAAAGGGTCAAAAGCCAGATACCATTTCTTCTTTGGTGTAACCCCCCCTTTGTTTGGAGTTTAGAAGGGCCCTGACCTGCGTTCATGTGTGCTAGGTTCCCCCCCCCCCCTCCGGACCAAAAGTAAGGGCCCCGATCTTTGCTCCAAATGGAGCGAGTGCTTCTTGAATTTCCTGCCACGGGCTCTGAATACTAGGCTTCAGGTCTCCAAATATCTTTTGGCACCCGGATTTCATCAAGTTCAGAGAGTAGGGGCCATCATCCTTTTGCTTTGTCGAATTTACACTTGACACGCTTGGGTTCCACCCAGAAATCCAGCTAACATTTTTGGGAAAACCCGACTCATGTCAGCGTAGGGCCCAATTGGACACCCAAGAAAACGATGGTGTTCATACTTGGCCCACTAAAAAAGCGGCACGCCGAAAATGATATGTCCTGATTCTGCTTGGACCCCGTTCTCAGCTTCCTTCCAACTGGTTTGGAGCCCGAATCCGGTGATGTGGTCAAGGGGTTTTCCCTTGACCTCCAAAAACCCAAGGGCTTCCAAGGGTCCAAATCCCAACCACCTGCCTGACCTTCGGCTCCACTTCCGGTTAGATGAGAAAGGAACCACACCTTTGGTTGCCCCACGAAAACGGCAACCAAACGGAATTGGCAAAGGGCTAAAATGGCAGTTAACATCTTCACGGGGGGGAACAAAAAAACAAACTTCCTCGCGCGCAATATCTTCACTCCAACTTGTTTCTAAGTGCCCCAACTCAACGGACGTGAGATTTCACGCCTGCCGCGCAACCCCACGCGTTCGCCACCCACGTTGCGCCCCCCTCCCTCTGGAGCCCCCCCCCCCACTCCCCCCCTCCAACCCCCCCCCGGAGCCCCGAAAATTCGAAGTCGGGACTTCTCTGCGCCTGCGGGCCTCTGGGCCTTGGCCCAAGGCCGCCTCCACCGCCTGGCGCGGGCCGCGGCAGGCGGGGGCCGATGGGCGCGGATGGGGCCGATGGGGGCTGTCCGGACCCCAAGAGGCGGCTTTCCTGAAAAGCCTGGGGAGGGGAAGGAGGGGAGGGGAAGGGAAGGAAGAGGGGAAGGAGGGGGGAAGGTGAGACGTTCCTAAAAGGCCTGGCAGTTGTGCGGTACTTCCAAAGTCTTCCCATCTCGCCAAAAGTCTGGAGGGGCTTCCCTTCCCTGAAGCCAGTTGCTCTTGAAACCAAATCCCCATCCAACTCGGGGTCACCTGAAAAGAAGAGAAACATAGTTGGACCCCAAAATTAGAAGAAGAACCAAATCGCGCCCAGTTTGATGTGGCACCCCGTTCGCCAAAGAGATTTTCTCACTTGGGTTCCATGTTCGGAGGACTGCCATCCATTTAGGAGCTGTTTCGAAGGGAAGTGGCTTGACGTTGGAAGGGGAGCACAAGAACTAAATTTGAGCAGTTGAGTGGATTTGGATTTCAACCACTAAACCACAATAAGCAAGCATGTAAATTGTTTCCCAACAACAACCATGAGTTTGGGCTTGACGGGATGAGAAGAGGTGACATTGGTCAAGCTGGCCCCCAACTGTGGCAAGCTTCTTACTGGACATGCTCCGCATGTACTCAAATAGGTGACAGGCTCAGCTTGGTTGCACCAGGACATGTGATTGGAATTCTGACACTGGCCTGGAGGACATTTTTCCTGGAGGCTCATTCTGGAATTCTGACGCTGGCCTCATTATTTTACCATGATCAAAGTCACCCCCTAAGTGATGGGTTAAAGGGAAACAACCGATTCAAAATACTGACCCCAGTTCTGACAGGACCAAGACAAAAGAGCTCGAGAGAGGCGGGCACCTTGGATGAGCCAACGATCAATCTCAGCTTACCGTTCCTTTTGAAAACAGAAGAGGCTACAGGTTGCACAGCACTGGAACCGAAGAACAACGGCACCACCTGAAGTGGCAAAGCAAAGGGCAGGTCACCCCCCCTCCCCTCCCCGAACCGACAAAACCTGCTCAGAGTCCAAAACCTGTCAAAACCTACGTGTCCCGTGTCCGGATTTGCTGAACCTCACTCTTCAGAAGCCCCAGAACCAGGAAAACATGTCTTTCTCTTTTCCATGGCAGGAAACCCACCAAAAAGGAGAGTCTCTCTCCACCACTGCGTGGCCGTGGTTTTTTCCGGCCCGTCCTCAGATCCCCGCTAAAAGTGTAAATGTTAGTGGGTTCAATGGAAATAAGCACTGAAAAGCTAAGGGGATGGCTGGGAGCCACCTAGTTTTCGTTGGGGACACGGGACATGACTGGACTGGGCCAAGTCAGCCAGCTGAATGTGGGGAAAGTTCGGCCCCTTGCGACTGCCGATGCAAAAGCTTAGTTCAGCTGAGTTCGGGTATGGATCTTCGAGCGGGCGTTCCCCGGATGCCCACTAGTTGCACCGCAACAATCTGAGTTGGTGATCAACTGTTGTGAGTTGGGTGTGGCTCAAAATCAAAGAGTCGGGATGTCGCAGGGTTTAGTGTTGGCTCCGTTCACCGAGGTGCCATTGCGGTACATGTTTTGAGCCACACCCAGTTGAATACTCTTCTACCAATGGACTATCCAACCAGGGTGACGTGCGACCATGTCTTCCCTTTCCACAGGCACCGAGGACAGCTTACTAGGGTGTGTGTGTGTGTGTGTCGTCTACAAGGGAATCACAAACCTCTTTGTGGGAAAAATACAACAGCCCCCCTGCTGGGCATGACATCTACCGTCACCCTAATGTACTGCACACTAGACACACCTACTGCTCCATTAGTTTTCAGGGGAACCCCCTAAAGCGTGTTGTTTGCTTAAAGGAAAACCAGAGGCAAGGCATGGCATTTGCTGAGTGCGCCATTTTTGGTGGACCCCATATGTTTTTTGGGTGGCGTTCCTTCTATTTTTCTCTTAATACCAACTAAAATTCGGTTTCACCTCGCGTCGAACTCCTCCCCTTCCCCGCACGTGGCCTCGGCACAACTTCTGCCGAGGGACCAAACTTCCAGCACCGCCTGACGCCCATGGAAAACCCACCGGGAGCCTCTGAGAAACCATGGGCGAAAGGGCAAGAATAGTAGAATATCAGCGCCTAAAAATGAGAATGTGGCACTTCAAAACCACGTTTGGCGGCTTGCAGCCATACATCAGCTTCCCTCTCTTGTTTGGTGGCTTGGCAATTTGGGGGTGGTTTCCCATTTTCCCTCTACAAGAACCAGGGCTTCAAATCCCCAAACCAAAATCCAACGCACCGACTACGGGTTATCTGAAAGAAAAATATGCGGGCCTAAAACAAAATGAGGATGGATGGAGAACTAGTTGTTGTTACTTAGGCCCTATATTAGGCGGCTTTGATTGGCTGCCCTTCAAAAGAAGACCGTGTCTTATGGAACATCCCTGCCATGAGTAGTTTATAAGCACGGTCACTCGAGCAACGCCTCTTCTTTTTGGTGTCCATGTGGCCCTAAGACCCTATGCCCTATGGGCACAAAAACTGGAGAAAAATCCGCAACAAGAAGCACGGACACCTGACAGGTTTCAGAGCCTTCAAATGCAGATGGAAATGTCCGTCGAACAAAAAGCCATCTCGGAAACGCGATCTTGGCCCCATGCTTGATGAAAAGTGTCGACCTTTGCAACAACTTGCATACTCAAATCGTGGCTCACGTGCTGAGTCATCCAGCCTCCGAAGCATACAAATAAAATCGTTCGGAGAACGTTCAGAACCATGCCAACTTCTGTGCAGCGGCCCTCTGGATCGTGCCGCAAATCGCAGATTCCAGGTCCAGAATACTGCCCTCACATTATTTTGTCGACCCCTACAAACCCGATCCATTAAAAAAAAGGGTTCCCCCAGGGTGATATATATATATATACATATATATATATATATATATACACATATATATATATATATATTATGATTATTATTGTTATTATTATGATGATCCTTTTATTTTTTTACAAACAAAAAAGAAGAACGCCTTCTTGCAGAAAACACCCCCCAAGGTGCGGAGAATTCGCCGGGCGCCTTCACCAGGACGGCGCGCTCGCAGATCTTGCGGGCCTCCGCCTGGCGAGGAGGGGTGGTTTCTGGGGACCGGAAGAAGGAAAAGCTGGCCCGAGTTGCTGAAGGCTGGCCCCCTTTTCAGAAGGACGCCAGGCTTTTTTCTTGATGTTTTGGATGGGGGCATGGTGTTTTCTGGGGGCCTAAAGGATTCTTGTTTACTCTTGAGGGTCTATTTTGAGACAGGCGAATGTTCGACCTTGGTCCCCCCTATTCAACGAGCGGGGTTTCCGTACTCCCCACGTTCCGGCTTCAAATCCATGGGACAGTTGAATCCGAGACGTCAACTCTGCTCAGCCTCGTGACCCACAAGGTGGAATTGGAGATGGGATCCACGCTGAAGAAACCGCGGTAGAAGAGGACCGTATGACTTTCGGGGCTCACCGACCGGGACTCGGTTCACCCAAACCCATCTGGTTTAAAAAAAGAAGGGCCAGGAGCTCCGGCGGATTTTCGGTGGCAGGCCTTGACGGGAATTGCCTTCAAGGGGAAGGGCACCACTGGCTCTTCTCGCGCGTGCTGCCGGGGGGTCTCACAGTTGAATGGATCGACATGGCACCTGGTTGGAGTTCCAAGCCAAAAAGCTGCCCTGGTCATGCGCTGCTTCAAACCCTTTTGCCCGGGGAAAAGAGGAGTTGGGGGTGGGAGTTCAACTTCGAGCCGACATCCAAAATCGAAGCCCCACGAAAGGAAGAGTCATGTCGCGAACACGAGCGGCACTAGAAATCGACAAGATACGGACCTTTTTCACCATTGGCCTAGAGGGAATCTCACAAGAATACGGCCATCACCCAAGCAGCGAACGTTCAAACAAGCAGTAGTTTGTGCAGCCAGGTTCCCTCAAAATGCGACCTACGGGAGCTGAACGTTTTGTGGTTTGGAGCTTAGAAGTGGTGTCCCATTTACCCTCTACAAAGAACCGTGGGTTCAAATCCCGAAACCACCAATCCAACCCACCAACTAAGAAAGAAGCTATGCCTGAGCAGGCGTGAGTTTCCCCGATTGCTCTTGGGTATGCAGTCCATGCCTCACACGACAAGTTGGCATTCACTTTGGAAACCGAGGCTGCCTCCAATGCATGGGTATTGATTGAATTGTTTTTTGAAACCCAACAAGTCAGTTGGTCGAAAAGAGAAGCGCCAAACAGGGGCCTCTACCAAGCTTGCATGTTTGTTGAGGGCCCCTTTCGCCAAAGGTTTACCGCCCTTCTTTGCGGCGTTCTTTCTTCGATATTTTGGGTGAAATTTCAGCGTCCGTCTCCTGTCGATTCTTTTGTTCGGGTTCCGCTTGTGGTTCAACTCGTCGTTAACCCCAATTTTGGTCATACGAATCTGGACCATAGGTGTCCTGTTGGGTAAAATCAACCAATCTAAGCCAGCGGAACCCATCTGTTTCTAACCAGACTAAACGATCAAAAGGACACCCATGATCTGGACATTCTGACCGCTTCCCCAAGAGTTGGCATGGGGCCCTGGCTCATTTTGGAAAGAGCTAGCGCAAACATGTTCCCCGGTCGGAGTCGGTTCAATCTACCACGCGGTGACTTTTAAAGTTTTAAAAAATGGGAAAAAATGGGAGCTCCGTTTTTTTTGAGCCACGGCCACATCCCGATGGAATCGGAAACCAATGGAAAACCAATGGAAACCAATGGGTCCCAATGGAAAGCATTCGGCTGTCGCTCAAAAAATCGGCACCAAAATGGAACCCTGGTAAGTGGAAACATGGACCAAAACCTGCTTTACCCCTCCTGTTTAATGTTGAGCCACACCCATTTGCCCATGGGTCAAAATCCAAATCGTACCCCCTGTGAACATCCCAATCCCCACTAAAATAGGTTCTAAAATAAATGGTGCACCTAGCCCAAAGTGGGATCCCATTGGTTTTGACAACCACCGCCATATCCCCATAGACTTAAACCCAGGGGTGCTCGATTTCCGCAAAAGGGAAACCCCTGGGTTTAAGTCTACCTTGGAGTAGTCAAAAAACGGAACCCCTGCACCCCCTGTGAACATCCCAAGCCCCACTAAAATCCCGACCATGGGTGGTGAATTCACCTACCCCAAAGTGGGAGCCCAAAACGGTTTTGACCACCACAGCCATTTGGCTGTGGTTGTCAGGTACCCCAAATGGGTTGCTGGTAAATGGAAAGAAGCACTAAACCTGCGGTCCATATCCTGGTGGTTTTATTTTGACCACCACAGCCATTTGTTGAGCCACGGACGGCTCGAAACTTCGTTCCACCGTGCGCCTCACTGAGCCGCACTCGTACCAGGGGAGAAGCGCTCAGCGCGCAGGGCGGCGCCTGCGCGCAGGCGCGTCGCTTGTTTGGTGTTTTGTGTTGGGGAGCTGCTCTCTTCTTTTGTGTTTTCCTTCGTTGTTTTTTCCCTTGGGGGGGGTGGGTTTTGAAGGCCAACCCAAAGGAAACCAGCCATTGTTGTTTTTTGGGGGGTCCGATTCCTAAAGACGAGCCACCCAAGTTACCCAAGCTGACTCCGCGATGTCACGCTGTTTGTAGAAGTCGGCATGGCCTTGGAGATTTTCACTTTCAGCTTAAGGAGTTTGTTTGGGGCGCCCTTGCAAAGCGAATGTGGAACCCCTTCACCTGAGTCCGTATCTGGCTTTGCTTGACATGCGAACCCCGAACAAGGGGATCAGCATGGGTATGTTGACGGAAGTAGCCTGAAGAACCCCCCCTTCTGATCTGACTCGAAGGTCTTCTTGGCAAACTTTTTCTTGAAAACAAGTATGGCAAGATTTCCCTTCGTGCAGAACGTGCAGAGCGTGCGCTGCACGTGCACGTGCGCTGCGCGGCTCGTTTCTTCGATTGGTTCAGCTGGCGAAATCTCCGGTTGCACCAAAAGATCTCCTCAGACGCCTACAACTCGCTGAGCTCCGAAACTGATTCCGAGGACTCCGAAAACCGAGGCGGGCTTCCCGCACCTCCAAACCGCTCGCCCGGTCTGCTTTTTTTTTTTTTCGGCCGGCCTGTTCTCCCATGATCTCCCATTCACTTGAACATCCGGATGGAAGATGTATTGTTTAGCCCTTTAAAAGGTTGGGTAAAAGTTGAAAGCCGCGAGAAACGGTTTTTGGGTGACACGTGCCCAAGCAGGAAGCCCAAGTCTTTCACCCCCTTTTGGTTGGTTCTTAAGGGAGGCCAAAGGAACCCATGCTTTTTTGTTTTGAGCGCCAATCCCCTTTTCTGGAGACAGTCTTGGGTCGTCCGGTTTGTTTGGCGAGAAAAACAAAAGAAATAAAAAAAAAAAAAAAAAAAAAAAAAAAAAAAAAAAAAAAAAAAAAAAAAAAAACGAATCCAAACCTCACCATGTGAACATGACCCCCCAAAAGTGGCTAACGCTCCACGAACTGGTTTCCCTTCAGCTCGATCCCAACCAAATCAGGGTCCACGATGTGGGGGTTGATCAATATTCCTGGCCCCGAAACGACCATGCGCAACTTGCCCCACTTGGCGGTTGAAATCGCATCATTTGAGTAGTTGGGTCATCCCATGAGTACCACACCTTTTGATCAAACCCATGTAGTCTAGATTGTACAAACTCACCAACCGGGGGGAAGAAAAAAAAACAAAAACAAAAAACGCTTTATTTATTATTTGTTAAAAAAGAAAGAAGAAAGAATCAGAATTGGGTCTTTATCAAAGCAACCTTCATGAAAAACCTCGACCCCCCGCCCTGGCCCCGCCCCGAAAGGTGACCCTTTGTGAAGCACTCGTTCCAGAGCCTGCTTTCCAGTATCCAAGGAAGAAAACCACTGGTTTGGGTTTGGGGTTTGGGACCATATGGCCATGGTTCAAAACCAATGGTACCATTTTCGGGCAGGTGAACCACCCATGTTAGTCTATTTCAGTGGGGATTGGGATGTTCACCGGGGGGGGGTACGATTTGGATTTTGACCCATGGCCATATCCTTTGAGACCAACCCGTGTCTCGGGAGCCGGTTTTGGATCCTTGGGATTCAACCACATGCATTCGCGCCTCGACATAGAGCTCGGCCCGGGAGATGTTGGCCACGAGGTGCGCCACCGCCTCCAACTCTTGGAACCTCCGCGTTTGATGCGCGCGCGAGATCCACCCCCCCCGGGGTGGGGGTGTCTGCTTTCTTGGAGTTGGTACCTTGTTTTTTTTTGCGGTTGTGAAGGAAAGCCACCATTTTGTGGGTCCTTTAAAGCCAGACTCCCTCGCTTTTGCTAGGTGTCCCTATCACTTTCTTGGGATTCCCCTTAGCTTTCTGGAGTTTCCTAGCTTGGAAAATTGCACCTTGCTGTTACTGGAGTTTCCTAGCTTGGAAAATTGCGGGCGACCCCAACGATGACTACTGGCTTCCCTAGCATTTGCTGGGATACTCCTGGAATTCCCGCGATTTGCTTGCAGCTTCTCGGTGTTCTAGATGTTCCTCTTTTTTCTTGCCAGAAACTTCTCAGGTGGCCCCATCCAACGATGACTTCATCATTTTACCCTGGAGAGTCCCCAAGCTGTTCACTGGAAAACGACACCTCCAATTTTCTACCATGGAGAGGGGCCATTGCCCCTTCCAAATTTGCTCAGTTCTTTGCCAAAAACGATCCTCGACGAGCTCGGCCGAATTCAACGAGCCACCGAAATGTCTGCAACATGAAACAGAACGCCTTGGGCACCCGCCACTAGCCCCTGCCAAAGGGCCCAAGTGGGCAAAGTGACCCGCCGGCCCTTTCGCAACCCCCGGAGACAAACCACCTGAAAAACCCCCAAAAAAAATGCCCCCAGCCCGAACCCGCGCTTCAAATCGGCGCGGGTGGCAAACCGATCGGTCGAGACGCGAGGTTCCGCTTTTCGGAGCCGTCCGGAAGGCAACGAAGTTCGGTTTCAAGCACCCCTCTAACCGCGGGGAAAGAAAAAAAGAAGAAAAACAAAAAAAAACGATGGCCTGTTCCGGATTCCAGGAAGCGGAAAAAAAAAACACCCAAACCATTTGCCACCGAGAAGTGGTTCACACCACCCGCCTCATGTTGAAGTACATGTTGTGGTGCGCGAAGAGCACCAGGAACTCCCTCCGTCCTGGAGAAAAACAAAAAATTGGTCGGAAGACTCGGGTCCACGTGTCCGGTGAGCCGGCGCCAACGGTTTTTTGAAAAAAACCAACAATGAAACGGGATGATTTTTGTTTTTAGTGTCCTGGGTGTGAGTTAAAATTCAGGGTAGGCGGGTCTAAGTTCAAAGTATTTGGGTCCGTCCCTCGAAATTGGCTTCAAATACCTCGAAATGAACTTGTGTCTTTGAGATAAAGGTTTGGGTGGTTTGAAAGGGAAAACCAAATGGTTGGCACCGACTCGAAGCAGACAAGTACCTCATTCTGCATAGGTGGTTTTGTGGATGTGGTTTTGCAGATGTATATATATATATATGTGGACAAAACCGTGAAGCTTCTATTGTAGAATGTCTCAACATGTAGATTCAGGTGTGGCTTCTTTGAGGTCTCCTTTTGGGCCTCCGAGTTGGAAGCCAAACGAAAACCGAAGCCCGTGGCTCATGTGTTCCTTGGGTGTCCACATCCTTTGAGAAATACCCATGTGCACATGTGTGTTTCCCGGCGTGGAGCCGTCGCAGATCGATTTTGAGACAGCCCCAGTCCAGCTTGACCCAGGATGAGTTGCAACCTTTGGGCTTTCGGCACTCTGAATGGCACCCTGGTGGGATGGCTTGAACATGAAACCAAGAGCTTAGCGCCTGCAGGAATGGGTCCCCTTGGGGTGCAGCGATTCACCATGTCTGCCCCATGTCCCAAACCGGGCGTGCAAACATGCCCAAAGTGGAGAGTTTGTTGAGCCAGTCAGAGAATCGGCGAGGTTCCCGGGTGACCCCCCAGCATAGACTACGTACAACCCAAGTGAATCTTGCTTGCCATGAGCACAACTGGCGATTTGCAAAACACAGTTGGAACACGGCTGCAAACACCCATGAGCATGATTGCAGTCCCCTAACGGCACGTGTTTTCCAACTCACTGGTCGAATACATCATGGGAAGAAAAAAAGAAGAAAAAACAGCTCGGGGCCTAACATCCCCACATGGCCCGACGAAGGCGGTCCATCCAGATCTCCATGGGCCCCGCAAAGTCAAGTGGACGGGGTTGATCAATTGCTGGTTCTGGTCTAAACCCTGGCGGGAGCTAAAAAATATATGCAAAACACTTGCCTGACATGGGCAAAGTTGGGTCCTGCGTTCCAAAACTTCTGTCGAATTGCCTGGAGCCTTCTTTCTTGGCCCAAACATGGAGTTGTCACCTCTTTTACTCGCTTGCTTTCTGCTCCCCTGCTAAAAGTTTAACTTTTAGTGGAAAAATGGAAAACCCATTAGTTGGCAAAAAGTCAAAGTCCTAACAGCCAAGCAAAATGCACCAAAGTTTGTGCATGGCCAGTGGCGAACACAAGCTGCCATGGCCCGTGCCCGCATTGGTGGAATGGGTCCGACCAGCCAACAGGGGCGAGTCTCGAGCTTCCATTTGGTTAAGGCCCCAGGAAAAAATAAATGTGTTTTGCAGTAGTGATGAACTCCTTTTAAGACCAACCATGGAGAGAAAAAACAAAAAAAGATCGTTTCAGCACATGGAGGCGAGGGGTCACAGCGCTCCCCAGCGAACTGCTCCTCCATCACCCGCCATGGCGGGTGCGCGGTGCAGCACCCCAGAAGCTTGGCGCCACGTTCGCCCCAGGCTGTAACCCTGGATCCAAGTAGAACCCATCTGGCAAAGGGGTGGATCAGGGGACCAAAGTGAGATCGATTTTTCCGGAGTCCCCAAAGGCATTGGACACCCCCCATGTCCAATCCAAAATTCAAGGGGCTTAACTTCATCCGGGCTTAAGATATACTAGGCCTGGCGGAAAAACCTTAAGCCTAACCCGAAGGTGGATGGGTTCCCTTCAAAGGCTGGCGCTCATTCCCTAAGAAAAGGCGGCGCTTCTCCGTAAGAACTCGCGAATATGCCCAGGGAACATCAGAGGCCAGGTGTGCTTTTGCTCTGTGTCAGAGGTTTCACGGTGGCTTCCGTTAACCCGATCAAACCAATGCAAAATGGCGTCAAGCATAGCTATCTGGCTGTGGTCGTTAGGCCGTTTTGGGATCCCATTTTGGTTGGTAATTGAATTAACCACCCAATTTTAGAACCTATTTTAGTGGTTGGATTGGGATGCTCACTGGTGGTATGGGGTTTTGACCCATGGCCATCTCAACGACGCGATTCTTTCTTCGGCCTCCGATGTTGGACTCCACCTCCGTTCGATCTTTCTCAGGCTGCGGGCAAAGAGGCGGGACGCGAGAAGTCTGCAACTGTCCTCAAAAGTCATCCGGATCTGCTGCCCCCCATGAACATAAACGAAAGATGATCCTTTTTCATCCGCCCCAAAAAAATGGATCTGGTGCCACCAATCAAAGTCAACCTTGGGGGGTTCCTGGCTGACGGCGCGCTGCAAGCTTTTTGTCGGGCCTTCTGCTCGAAGACTTTTCGACGAGAGGCGACGAGCCAAAGTGAGTCACGTGCCAAAACTGATTGACGGCCGCTGTCCTTTAACAAATGTGCAGGTACAGCTCGCGCGAGAACGTCCTCAGAAACCGTAAACAAAAAACATTGGGCGTTGAGATCACTCGCACCCAACAAGTTGAACCAGGAAAAGTGGGAATGGTGCTACCTGGTGTCCTGAAAAGTCCTTGGAGTGACCAGTTGGACGGTACCGCCTCGGGGGGGTTCGGGTTCTGAGGACTTGGTAGAAGATTGGCGCTTCACTTACGAAAGCCCGGGCCTTCCGGGAGCCTGGGTGGCGGTTTTCTCTGGCACCCGAGCGAGCGGATACCTGGGGCATCGTCCCTAGTGGGAGCAGAAACGAAAAAGCCATGTGCGAGAGACGTCATGGCAATTGTTGGAAAGGTCATGTACCTCAAGAGTTGCTTCCAAGTCCATTCTCTTCACCCACTTTCTGTTTGGAAACTGCCCATGTTCCCAGAAACTGGACCCATCTGTTGAAGAGCAGGATGCCAATGGAAATGGAAGGTGTTTCTGCTTGTGATTGGTTTTCGGCACATAATCTGTTTCAGTTCACCCCCTTGAGCGGCTCAGCCTCTACTAGTCTCCCAACTAGGATTTGCTTGCGCCTTGCTCCTACCATGCGTCAAACTGGATTCCCCTTCAAAAGTTTCCTGCTTGCTTTAGAATGCATGTTTGCAGAAGACTACCCTTGGCCCAAATCTGGGGTACACACTCATATTTTGGAGAACCCGTAACCTTCTGCGCTGGAATTGTCATGTGGTGGGGTGCTTTGGCAGCCAACTCACTCACGATCGGAGAACAAGGTGCATATTATCCTTTTCATAACTAGTTCCATCATGTGGCCCCATAAATTCATCTCACCCGGCTGTTTCCTGGGGGAAATGTGGCCATGGGTCAAAATCCCCCACCCCCAGTGAACATCCCGTTCTAACATGGGTGGTGAATTCACCAATCCCAACCAAAATGGGATCCCCTTGAACGGTTTTGACCACAGCCATATGGCCCCAAACCCCAAACCCGAAAAACCCCAAACCAGTGGCTTGCTTCTTTGGCTTGGGGGAAATGGTCCCTCGCCCAGGTCCAGCCGCGCTCGGTTCAGCACGAGGCGAGAGCGTGGCTCGCTCGGCGCCGGCTCAGCGGCGGTCGTAGCGCCCGGGCGAGGAGCTGCGCCAAGAGCGGCTCTCGTAGCCGCCATCGTCGTCGCCGTAGCTGCCCCTGCTGGATTTGGAGGAAGCGCCGTGGGTTTCTTGGGCGGGCCGCCCTTGGTTCACATTGGATGGGGAGCAAAAAGAAATATATATTGTTTTATAGCAGTTCTGTGGTTGGATTTCAACCACTAAAGCGCAAGAAGCAAAAAAACATGTTGCCCAACAACAACCAAAACCCTGGTCTGATGGTCCACAAACAAGATGGTTCCACAAGAAACGTGGATGATGTTGCACGGTTCGTCATTTGCGGTGGGTGAGACATGAATCCCATGTTCCAGAAGAAACATGGGATGGGTGCGGTTCCGCTTTTGAGGCTGCATGGATGGGTTTGTTTGTCCTGTTTGGAGCTGGAACCCCTTGTGGGGATGGATTATTTAAAGGGGAAACCACAAGGAAACCGTTGAGCCATTTTGGGGGGGGGTCCTAAAAACAGACAAAGGCCCGGTTGCGTTTGTTTGTTTGTGGCTTGGGACCCTTTTTGGGGCTGGTCACAATAGGAAACCAATTGAGAGCCCGGTTGGGAGGTTCCATCTCCTATTTTGGCACAAGCTCCCATGTTGCTCTTAAAACCCCTGCCTGCTGCGGCCGCCGCCATAGCTGCCGCCGCCGCCGCCATAGCTGCCGCCGCCGTAGCTGCCGCCGCCATCCCTGTTGCCCCGGTAGCCTGCGCTGTCAGATGAACATGTTGTTTTTTTTGCAGGCGCCCTTTTCATCTTGGTTTGAGGCGAAACCAAAAGGAACACAAAGGGGAACCCAAACCAAAAGAGGACCTTGCCAAAACAAAGGGGGAAAAAAAGGAGAAAAACAACATTTATGGGTTTCTCCTTTTGCGAAAGGACCCCGTCTTTGAGTTCCATTATTCCCCTTGAACCACCCCGTTTTCCGGGTTCTTCCTGGGCCAGACTTAGACCAAGATGGTCTGTAGCGACGCCTTTGTAGATGGGGCACGAACGCCGAACACAGGCGAAAACCACACGATGCATATGGGACCAGCGGTGTGGCATTGAAGCGCACACCGATCCTAGCTACACAAACTGACCCGGAAGAGCAATGCTCATAAAATGGCAGGCTGAGCGTTCGGAGCAAACAAATTGAGACGGCTCAGGCGTGGGTCTGTCTATAAAAAAAGAAGGTAGCGATTTGCGGAAACCAACCACTAACCAAAAGCGAGCAACCAGCACTGGCAGTCTTATGGGTCTATTCTCTGTAAGTAGTAAGGTCTACACATCAGATTTATAACCATCTGACGTGAAGATCCTCCACCCTCTTTGAATTATTCTCGGTGATTTGGCCGCCAACAAACAGGAAAACTCGGAGTATAACATGTTGCAAAACTTTGCTGGTTCTAAGTAGGGAATGAGGGAATGACCCCCCAAGCTTAAGCATCCCTTCTGGCTTCCTAGGTCCCCAAAACCTCTAGTTGATTCCTTGACAGGCAAGAAAAGACTTTGGGCGACCAAGGCAACTAACTCAAGGCAGGCATGGGGGTAATTTGCATGAAAGGGACGCAAGTGTCCACGTCGGGATAGCATTTCAACCCTTCCATTGGGTGGTTCCGTTTGAAACCACCTCCATGGGCACCAACTCAACAATAAGTGTTCTGATGGTGTTGTAGTTCTAAAGTACTGCTTGGATCCGCTGTTTGTGGATGCACCTGTTATTTTTTTTTTAAACAAAAAAAGAGGTAAAGGTTCAAGAGGATGCAAACTGTCCGCAAACTGTCCCAACCGAAAGAAGCAAGGAGCATCCACCCCTTTGGTCAGAGTAAGCTCGAATCGACTTGAGCATACATTGAACAGCCAAGTCAACTCTCATTCGCGCTATGGTGTTCATACTTGTCAGCAGTAGCTCAACTACACAGTTCATCTTTTTGGCTATATATTGAGTAGTTCAACGATACGCTACCGAAGATCTCCTATGGCCCTATGGCCTCTCTTTCCACCCCACACGCAAGGCCATGCAAGCACCGCGGAATATCTACCCCCCCCCCCCATTTTTTGGAAATCTCGCAAGGGGAGCTCTTGACGTCCATGTTCTCCTTTTCCCCCAAAAGCTTTGAGGGGTCCTTGGGTTTCCAGCCGCGTCACATGCCCAAGATGGATTTTTTTCCTCGGCTTTTCTTTTTTCTTGAGCGGATTCCCCCGACAGATCTGAGGCGTCTGAACTCCCAAATCCGAGGATTCGTTCGTCCGCGGATCCGCGGAAAGTACCCATTGAGAACACCCGCACCCGCTCAGCTGGACAAGAACCTGCACGAAACTGGCGCCATACACTCCTACAAAACTGGCTGGGTTCGGCCCAGCAGGAAAAATGAGCAATGGAATGAGGCCAAGAGAAAAATACCATCCCTACCTTGCTGGTGGTTTAAGGAGAGCCAATTCCATGGGTTCATTCAACCGCATTCCCACCCACCCACCCAGTGCTTCCACCAGCGCTTCAACGCGCGAAACCTCCTCCGCGGCGCTCGCCGCCGCCGCGGTAGGAGCCGCCGCCGCCGCCGCCGTAACCTCGACGGACGTCAGGACTGGGCTCTAAGTGAGCAGAAAGGTTCTGGGGCTGGGCATAGTGAAAACATATCGGATCATGGACAATCAGTCAACAGCTCAATCGGGGGAAACTCCGCCGGGAAATCCCTCCGATGGTTTTTGGGTTGGACATCCAATTTCTCCGAGTTCCTCAACTGGCGTTTGGTGGGACATCCGATTTCCTCCACTGGTTTGTGGTGGGTGGAAATTTCCTCAACTGGAGGAAATCTGGAGATCCAACTTCCTGAAGAGAATCCTTTTTCGGCCCAAGCCATGTGGAAAAAGTGGCGTCCTTTTGACACCGGGAGGCTCCCACAAAAGGACAGGCCCATGGTTGCTTGCAGCCCCCTATGCTTGACTTCCAGATCCCGCGCTTGCTCGATATGCTTGCCGCCCCCCACCCAGAACCGATACAGCAAACAAGTGGCTGGGGCTCAAAAAACCGGAATTCCAAAAACGAACGCTGGCAAGTGAAAACATGGACCAAAA